AGTGCTCGTCGTGAAGTCGGCGAAGAAAGACGTTAAGTGTAGGTGCGCTCTCTTGTGTGTGGGAACGGAAACTGACAGCCACTATAGGTTCTGTGAGAGTGAGAGTTTTCGTTTATGGCATCAAAACCCTTAAAGGCAATAGGAAAAGATCTCTTTATGGGTTCGAGTAGGCCTACTGGTGGTTTGATTATCTGTGGTTATTTTAATCGCGATTATTATTATGATCATGAAGATTATTTATTGTTATAGCAGTAAATGTAGTAAGAAAATGGTAGTGATAAGGATTTATATTCTGTCCATCAAGAACGTTTATTTTGTGAATGGTAAATTTGTCGCATGCCTACTAGACAGAGCAGAAAGACTGTTAAGTGTATATATACATACATATATATATATATATATATATATATATATATATATATATATATATATATATATATATGTATATATATATATATATATATATATATATATATATATATATATATATATATACATACATATATATATAATATATATATATATATATATATATATATATATATATATATGTATATATATACATATATATACATACACACATACACACACGCACGCAGACACACACACTCTCTCATATATATAAATATATATATATATATATATATATATATATATATATATATATATATATATATATATATATATATGCGTATGTGTGTGTGTGTGTGTGTGTGTAACATCTATAGCCCCTACTGCCCATCTACTCACAGTACCCCTCCCTCCCCAGCCCTACAAAGATACACATGTATAGTCTCAAAGTGCACACTACCACTACACATAACACACACACACATGTAGGGGGAAGTAAATCATCATTTAAATGAGAGAGAGAGAGAGAGAGAGAGAGAGAGAGAGAGAGAGAGAGAGAGAGAGAGAGAGAGAGAGAGAGAGAGAGAGAGAGAGAGAGAGGGTGGGTGGGAGGTAGATAGAGAGAGGGATATATATATATATATAAAGAAAATAAAAAAATAAAAATATATATATATATGTTTAAACACATAGATAGACAGAGAGAGAGAAGAGAGAAAAGGAAAAAAACACGAGCCACACAACAGAACGAAGACCAGGCCGACCAACTTTCGCCGTAGAAAACGTCTTACAGAGTAGCACTAAATACGAAAGTTTCTGCGCCTCATCTCGTTTTCTTTACTCTTGCTCTCGATCGAATCCATCTGCTGGCGACTGTAATAGTAATGGGTTGGTTATTTACAGTAAATTACTCATTTATGGCTGTCATTTATGGCTTAGCTATTGTTTTCTCTTTTGGGGGTGTATATCTAAAAAATATATAGGAATATGTATTATAGATATTTTTTCTTTATTAGCATTATTACTGTTGGGCTTTGGCCTTTGGAGCGATTATACTTAATAATACAGTTACTAGTACTAATAAAACAATAACAATGATAATGTTAACAAATATTAGTAGGTGTATTAAGAGTAACTACATTAATATTAGTAGTAATTAATTATAACACATACAATAATAGTACAAAAATATTGGCCATAACAAAATCAAGTACATATAATTAGCAACAACAGCAGTGCCGCGTGAAAGGAAAAGATTCGGGACTCCTCACACAGCCGAGTGCACACGCCATTCGACAAAGAGAAAGTGCAAACTGCTTCCCAAAGTTTCTGTTTGTTTTTGTGTTTTTTTTTTATTTTACAAAAAATGCAGATAGTAGATTAAATTCAGAGAAACCATTCTTACCCGATCCAGAAAATGCTAGTTATTTAAAATCTATTACCATTTAAATGTGAACCAATAAATCCGTTTTCTCCCCTTTTTAACGTTTTTTTTTTTTTTTTTTTTTTTTTTTTTTTAATCATCAACACCCAACGTAAACAGTTTCACCTCCTCAGGATAATCCCAAACAAGTGAACGGCCATGTGCGCACGTGTAGCCGTGGGCGTGGTAGCATGGGCACTTCTAGCCGCCCACGCCTTGGTCGAGGCTAGCGGGGGCTACGACTGCGGCTACAAGACTGTGTGGCTCGACAAGACTGAATATAGGCCTGTGCCGCAATACGTGGGCGGGTAAGTGGCAGTGGAATTAAAAACGAAAATGGTCGGTGCCTCTTTTAGTGTCAATGCTGTAATAACAAGTCGTATTATATCATTGTATTTCCCTTTACTTGTGTTATTATTATTGTTCTTGTTACTGATATTATCATATTTATCATTATGATTATTATTACTATTGTTATTGTTATTATGATCATTAATAATAATAATGATGAAGATGATGATGATGATAATAATAATGCTATTATTATTATTATTATTACTGTTACTATCATTATCATCATCATCCTCATCCTCATCACCATCATACCTCCTCATCATCATTACATCACCATCATCATCATCATCACAATAACCATGGTGTTCAAAAGTACATCTAATATCAAAATTAATTAAGAAAATTCCTGACCATACAATCATTACGCCAATATTATCATTATCATTATCATCAGTGCTACTACTACACTATAACTATTTCATTATCATTTATGGTTTTTCCTTTTTATTATCATTACTGTCATTATTTCTATTAATATTAGTGTTATAAGGAACAACTTCATTGTCATCCTCTATGATCATACGTAATTATTATTTCATATTTATTATTGCTTTATTTACTTATTATTATTTTCATTGTTATTATTATACTTCATTATCATCAGTGCTACTATTACACTGTAACTATTTCATTATCATTTATGGTTTTTCCTTTTTATTATCATTACTGTCATTATTTCTATTAATATTAGTGTTATAAGGAACAACTTCATTGTCATCCTCTATGATCATACGTAATTATTATTTCATATTTATTATTGTTTTATTTACTTATTATTATTTTCATTGTTATTATTATACTTATTATTGTTGTTGTTGTTGTTGTTGTTGTTGTTGTTGTTGTTGTTGTTGTTGTTGTTGTTGTTGTTGTTGTTGTTGTTGTTGTTGTTGTTATTATTACTATAATAATAATCATCATTATTATCATCATCATCATTATTATTATTATTATTATCATTATCATTATTATACTGCTACTACTACTGATTATTACCATTACAATCATAATCATTATAATTATTCTGATGAAAATGATAATGAAAATTATAATGATGGTAACATTAAGAACGACAGCAGTAATGATAATAATAATAATAACAATAGTAATAATAATAACAGTAGTAGTAGTAGTAGTAGTAGTAATATTAGTAGTAGTCGTAGTCGTAGTAGTAATGATAATATTAAGAACAACAATGATAATAATATTAAAAAAAGAATTATAGTAATTAATAAAGAAATAAATGAAAAGAAGAAAATAAAGCGTCATACATAATTTTGCAAGTCATCGCGAAAGTCGACATCTCATCGCATTTCGTCGACAACAAGCGTGCGGTTGCGAATTCCAGCGCATTGTTTTGCCATTCGAAGACGGATGAAAAATGATTTAATGGGTGAATTTTTCGCTCTCTCTCCCGTGTATGTTTTTTTTGTGACATTGATGGAGAGGTGGAACATTTTATTCATTATTTCATTTATTTCGGTAGCATCAGATTATGTAAATCCCTTAATTAGCAAATTATATAAATCCCTTCATTATTATACATATAAATCTCATGGATAATTCTAGAATACTTGAGAATAAATAGAAATTTCAGTTGAACCAAACTTACGGATTTGCTTACATTTTGTTTTCAGTGAAAGATTGGACACCTGGTGGCGTTTTGTATTTTTTCTTCAAATTATCTTTTATAAATGGAATAGTACTTTTGGAGAGTATGGCTGCCACCACAGCGTTAATTTAGGAAAAATAGATTTTCATAATTTTTTTCGATAATCATTCCATTTACGTGTTATCGATGTATTGATTGTTTATATATATATATATATATATATATATATATATATATATATATATATATATATATATATATATATATATATATGTATATATGTATGTATGTATGCAGTGTATGTGTGTTTTTACTTTATTGCTACGTTACCCAAATTACTAATTACTAATACGGTTTATCACTACGGCTACAACAAATGATATTATTGTTATTATTATCATCATTTTAATAACCGTTATATTTTTTAATATTATTGTTAATACGACTACCTCTCCAACTACAACCACCTTAGTACAACTGCACTATTGCAACTATCATTGTTATTCTTCTTATTATTAATATTATTATCATTATAATTATTACTTTTACCTTTGTTATTGGTACGTAGTGTTGCTGTTATCTACGTTTGTGTAGCGCCAGTAACGAAAATGCAGCTGATTGTTCCCTAAATAATCGTTTCAGATCAGATCAAATCTTTCTCATTCTTGTAATTTCATTCCCTTTCTCCTATTTTCTCTTTCTCTCATTCCACCCACCCCTCTCCCATCACGTTATTATCTCACTAATCTTCTTTTTTTTCTTTCCCACACTTTTCACAGGAAATCGGTTCGCAATGACTACGAGCCAGTATACTTAACCACGACGGTCCTTAACAAGCAGTCTGTACCTTACTTCATCACCCAGACGCAGAATGTGAGTTAAAAGATAAAAGATTCTCTCTCGTGCGAGTCAAGCTTTTATCGTTTTCTTTACTTCGTTTCTTTATTTTTTTCATTTCTTTTCATTTTCTTTTCTTTTCGTTTCGCGTCTTGTCTTGTTTTTTTTTGTTGTTGTTCCTTTTTTTTTCATTTTGAGTCGTCTTATCATAATCATTAGTTGTTATTATTATTATTATTATCATTGTCATATTTTTATTACTATCATTATCATCATCATCATCATTATTATTATTATTATCATTATTATCATCATCATTATCATTATCGATTATCTGAGTCTTCGCTATCCATTGATAATACACCTTTCCGTATCATTATCTTTGAGTCATCAGTTTTGAGTCACTCACTCTCGACTCTCATTTCATCGCCGTAGTTGGAAGCAATTTTTCTTACGTCACTCGAATGGCAGTCACGTTCGAATAATAAGTTACGTGCTCATTTGAGATCACTCTGACATGAGAAAGCTTTGATGAAGACACGCTACAGGGATGCACAAGTTTGCGTCGCCTATAAATCTGTTTCGGTTTTTCTCTTGGAAAAAAAAAAAACAACAGTGGAAGAGTGATGAATTGAATGATCATGGCGATATACATATCGACAGAAGAAAATGTGATAGGGAGAATTTGAGGAGTACTAAATGTTTTGTCTTTATTATGAAAATAGGTATATGTACGCGCGCACAAACTCACTCATCACGCACTCACTCTCTCTCTCACCCACCCACCCATCCACACACCCACTCACTAACTCACTCACTCACCTACTCACTCACTCACTCAACCACTCAACCACCCACCCACCCACCCACCCACTCACTCACTCACTCACACACTCACTCACCCATCCACACACACACACACACACACACACTCACACACACACACTCATCACACACCCACACACACACACTCACACACACACACACACACACACACACACACACACACACACACACACACACACACACACAAATCCCGCCACTAACTCTCTCCTTTGACCTCTGCTCCAGGTTCCCCAATTCGTGACGAAGAAAGCGACTTTGCCGCAATACATCACTCACACCGTCATCAACACCCACCCAAAATACGTCACCGTCACGGAGAAGTCTTACGTCACAGTCTACGCCACGAGGACACGCAAGATCTACGAGACAGTGTGTCCCAAGGGATACGGACACGGCGGCGGCGGGGGATACGGACACCACTGAGGATCACGTGATTACGGAAAGTTTCTGTGTTGTTGATGTTGTTGATCATTCATACTTTAAGGGATGTCAGCTGATTGTTATTGTGATACTGTCGAGCAGGTGATATTTTTAGTCATTTCAGTTTTGTTTAAGGAATATCATTTTCATGCTATACGGTGATACTATATCAACCATTCATAGATGAAGAATATTATTTGTATTTTCCTTTTCTCTCTATGTCGTTTAGTACTGAGTGCTGGCCATTCAGATAACTAAAAATAGATTATTTTGTTATAATGTGAGAATCACGTATGTCAGACTATTATTGTTTTGTTATTAAATATTTTGTCTTCGAGTTTTCTCTTTGTTACGCGCAGGATCACCTTTGAGGTCGGATATTGATGTTGATGATGATAATGCTGATAACTATAATGGTGATAATTATGATAAAGAAACACAAAGTCATGAACAACAATAATGAGAACAAAACTACAATTAAGGAAAGAATATGAACTCGATTTTATATAATACTATTGTTATACATAAATCCACCAACGACAATGTGAATAGCAGACAAATAGGAATTGGAAGAAAGGAAATAGAATAAATCGTAATAGTGGCAGAGGATCGGGATGGAAGTCTAACGCGTTATGAGTAATATCTCGCTGTTATTAAAACATAATTATACAATTATGTATATATATATATATATATATATATATATATATATATATATATATATATATATATGTGTATATGTATATGTATATGTATATACACACATACATATACACATGCACATGAATGTACACACTGTTTTTGTACATGCAATTATTTCAACCTATATATATATATATATATATATATATATATATATATATATATATATATATATATATATATATATATATATATGTATATATGTATATATGTGTGTATTAATATTGAAATAATTGCAAAGAGGAACCTAACCTAAACACGCGTCTCCAAGACTGCACACACTGAATAAAACAATCCTTTAAAACCTAAACCAGTGAATCTTTTAAAATATAAATCTATAAAATATATAAAAAAAAACATAAAACAAAATATAACATATAACATAAAAAAAAACATAAAACTGTAAAATAAAATATAAAAGAAAACCAATTATTTGGAGATGCGGGGTATCGATCCCCGTACCTCTCACATGCTAAGCGAGCGCTCTACCACTTGAGCTACATCCCCGGTGTTAGGGAGATGGAGTTCATCTTTTAAGATTCTTAATTAGAATGACCTTTAATTTCGAGCGTAATTGTGTATGTGTGTGTGTGTGTGTGTGTTTGAAATATTACCGTATTTTTTTTTTTAATAGATTAATTGGATTGGTTTTGTGTCTGATGTTTAAATTTACCGCGTTTGGGAAGCGTTTGGCTTGGATTTAGGAACTTTAATTTAGGATTAGGTCATTTATGTATGTGTTTGGTGAGTTCTATGATAAAAAAAATCTGTTTTAGACTGTTGTAAACAAGTTCAGTTACCGTGTTGGCTATTCGAAAGAAAAAAAAATATCAAGTAGAATTACGAAAAAGATTTGAAGAAAATGGAGATTTTGGACCAAAATCAAATATAAGATCAAACACTCAACTCATCTTCATAGCAATCGTACAAACATCATCAAAAGAAGACAATAAACATA